CTTGAAGAGTATCATCACTGGTTTAGCATTTCTTTAAAGTTGTGGTTATACAGACTATCATTTTCCTTGCAGGAGCAATGGCAACAATGCTATGATCCTTGAATGCAAGATCATCTAACATCATCATTCCCAAGTTTTGCACATGGGATTTTCATTTTACTGCATGATTTGAGTCTCCTATACTCCAGTGAATTCTTTGTTTCCTCCATTATTTCATAGTGGAACAACTTAAATGTGTCCTCATTGAACATCATACTGCTATCAGAGGCTTTCTGGAAGACTTTATTCATATCCGCCTCAAGATTCGCTGTGTTTTTGCTGATGGTGTCATCAGCAAAGGATGTTACGGTGTTATGATTGGTCTTCTCAATGTCAGATATAAAAATGAAAAAAAGAAGTGGATGAGTACTGTGCCTTGAAGAACAGAGCTTTTTCACTATGGCAGCCTCTGACTTCAATCCATTTACTACTACTCTCTGGGTTCTATTTATGAAATTAAATATCCATCTGCCCATTTTTATTACTTTTGCACATATTCTGTGTGTAATCACACCAAGGTCACACCTGTCAATGCTTTTGCAAAATTAGCATACAACATCAGCATTTAGCTTATCTTCCTGTACAGCATCCAAGATGAATAGAATGATCACCTTCCTCACCACTCTGACACACTCCATGGTGCTGGACACAGATGCTCCTCACTCCTGTACAGGACACGTCCTCTTTGATTTTGCCCAGGAGAACATCTACCTCTTTCTCTTTCGTGCCTGGGGCATGATTCTAACAGGGCCTCCCAGGGGGTCCCACAGCAGAAAGCTATTATGAAAGCTGAAAAAATGCATTTCTGCATCGGAGACCAGAGCGGTTTTGTTTCCTCCTCTCCAAACATAAATATTCCAGTTGATATCTGGGGTTGCTGCGGTGTACTTATATATCAGTAGGAAGGGCAAAAAAAAATGGATATTCAAGGCATAGAAAGAGCTGTTCACAACACATACTGAACCAAAATTGGAATATGCAGCAGTACTATGATATGTTTTTAAAAATCATATGACAAGAAAGAATTACTGTAAAGACAATACAAAAATGACTCCTAGGAGGCATTACACATGTCCTCCCTGGTTAATAGGTGGGGAAAAATCAAACGGCACAAAAGAATTGACAGTGAAGTTTTCCTGCATCAAAGGGGTACTACGAAGTTCTTCGCAGCATGGTATAGCAAAGTTAAAAGTAAATTTACATCTTTCCCATAAAAGCCTTCTTCCTGTCCTCAAAACTCTTCAAATTTACGGGTCATAAAAACGTTTGCAGTGTGGCCTTGCAGCGCTCAAGTTCCGACACTTTTCAGTGACAAGTTGTGCGGGGCTGCAACTTGCTGCACACCATCCAATACTTAGACGCACAAGAAAATGCAATAAAAATCTTAAGTCAATGAATCGAGACTAAATATGAGTGGAGTGGCAGGGCAGGGAAGAGTGACCAAAGACAGGGATGGAGGGAAAGTACGTCTAAGGAAAGCGGGGGGAAAGTGTGTCAATCAAGGAGGGAGTATTACAGGCAGAGGGAAAAAGCATCCAGTGGCATACCATAGGCAGAGGGAGTGTATTTTCAGAGAAAGCAAGAGGGAGGGAGAGGAGTGTTCAGAAGAAGCAAGAAGGAGGGACAGAAGTGTTAGAGGAAGCAAGAGGGAGGGAGAGAAGTGTTCAGAAGAAAGAAGAGAGAGGGAGAGAAGTGTTCAGAGGAAGCAAGAGGGAGGGAGAGAAGTGTTCAGAGGAAGCAAGAAGGAGGGACAGAAGTGTTCAGAGGAAGCAAGAGGGAGGGAGAGAAGTGTTCAGAGGGAGGGAGAGAAGTGCTCAGAGGAAGCAAGAAGGAGGGACAGAAGTGTTCAGGGGAAGCAAGAGGGAGGGAGAGAAGTGTTCAGAGGAAGCAAGAGGGAGGGAGAGTGTGTTCAGAGGAAGCAAGAGGGAGGGAGAGTGTGTTCAGATGAATCAAGAGGGAGGGAGAGTGTGTTCAGAGGAAGCAAGAGGGAGGGAGAGAACTGTTCAGAGGGAGGGAGAGAAGTGCTCAGAGGAAGCAAGAAGGAGGGACAGAAGTGTTCAGAGGAAGCAAGAGGGAGGGAGAGAAGTGTTCAGAGGAAGTAAGAGGGAGGGAGAGAAGTGTTCAGAGGAAGCAAGAGGGAGGGAGTGTGTGTTCAGAGGAAGCAAGAGGGAGGGAGAGTGTGTTCAGATGAATCAAGAGGGAGGGAGAGTGTGTTCAGAGGAAGCAAGAGGGAGGGAGAGTGTGTTCAGATGAATCAAGAGAGAGGAAGAGTGTGTTCAGAGGAAGCAAGGAGGGAGAGTGTGTTCAGAGGAAGCAAGAGGGAAGGAGTGTGTTCAGATGAATCAAGAGAGAGGGAGTGTGTGTTCAGAGGAAGCAAGAGGGAGGGAGAGTGTTCAGAGGAAGCAAGAGGGAGGGAGTGTGTTCAGAGGAACCAAGAGGGAGGGAGAGTGTGTTCAGAGGAACCAAGAGGGAGGGAGAGTATGTTCAGAGGAAGCGAAGAGAAAGGAGTGTTCGTAGATAGATGGAGAGAATGTCTACAGGCACAGACTGTGGGAATACATAGGAGAGGCAGACAGCAAAAACCTTTAACATTCAACATTGAGGCTATCGAGAGAGAGAGAGAGAACGAACGTCCAAAGAGAAAGAACGGGAAGGAGGCTGCAGGAGCAGTTAAGCAGTGTTGGCACATTAATAAGGATATTTTTTATGGGACTGCGACAATGTGAAGGACAGTAGCAGCAGTGAAGATGGTGAGTAGCAGTAAAAGTGGAAGGAGTGAAGTGAAGTGAAGTGAAATAAAGCTTGATATATGAAACTTAGGAAGCAAAAGAGACGGCACTGATAGAATAAAAAGACACGAAAAGTGATGGGTAGCATAAAGAGAGGGAAGAAGACATACAATACAAGTTTATTTCAACAGGATACGTTTACACAGATATGGGCGACACTTTAGCGCATGTTGAAAGTCCACAGTTATGTCACAACTGCTAATCTACATATTGACGGTATCATTATGTCTTGTGCAAGCTGACTGAGAATGAAATTATATACGCGAAAAACATGAGACAGACAGAAAGCAGCAAAGACGAGGTGAAAGAGAGTGATGAGCAGGCATCAATAACTTGTGGTGGAGGGGGAGAGGGAGGTAAAGGAGGGAACCAAAACAGATTAAGATCTTGTAAAAGGTCAGGGTGCCACTCACATTAATAAGAATTCGTTTTAACAACAGAATATTACTGCTACTGATAAAGTTACTGCGGTCCCAGTAACTGCTATCAGGAGCCAGAAGACCTTCCTGCTCACGTGAACACTACTGTAGGTGAACAGGACACTATAGAGCTTATAAATTCGATGACCTATACGAGTTTAATGAAGGTTTTTGAATAACAATAAGTTGAAAATGTGTAAATACCAGCTAAGATCACACTAGCCTCGTCAATACATTAATCCACCAATAAACGACACGCGCCTCGCTCTACGCCACGAGTGATTGGCCAGGAAGGTCTCCCTCCCCCACGTAACTCCACCAATCACGCAGCAGCAGGAGGCTTCTTCACTCACAGAGGAGGGGGGGACGACACGTGTCGATATTTCGACAGCTTGTACGTTCTTTCTGGCTCATTTCAGATTCGAGGTTAAAGGAGGTAGTTACTGCAAACTTGGCTAGATGTGACCAGTTTTAATATCCACAGAGAGGGATTTCCTTAAAATGGATGCTACTCAAACGTGTGTACCCGACTGGGTGATGGGGCACAAGGTCCTACAGAGAACACTTATTTTGGTTTAAAAAATATTCTATAGGACTGACGCACGCACACACCAACAATAACGTTGGATTGCGTGCAGCCAACAGTAACAGCCTGGTTGATCAGGTTCTGATCCACCAGGAGGCCTGGTCACAGACCGGGCCGCGGGGGCGTTGACCCCCGGAACTCTCTCCAGGTAAACTCTTCCTACTGAATACAGTAAGCTTTTCACAAAGCTCCTCTATATAGTGCGAGTTGTGGTAAACGCGACTGAAAAAGTTTACCCAAACTTGAACACGTGGAGAGGCCTTCATAATACATACTATTTGATTCAGGATGTACTACTCAATTGCCTATTCAAAACTCATGAAATCGTAATGGCACGACTGCAAACAAACCACGGTACGTAAAACTCCATGCCAGTGCATAAGCTTACGTGCAGGCCTGGAGTTTTACGACTCGTTTGCCGCGAGTTCAATCCCCACCCGTACCGTGGTTTACCTATGCAAAAATATCACACTGTATAGAAGTTTTATAAAAGTGCTGGATGTTTCTTCACTATAATAATAATTCGCATATGTAGTATATAGAAATCAATTGTAAAGAGGAATTTACAGAGTTTAAAGAGAACGGGGCGCAAAAGATCATTAGAAAAAGGGAAATAATTGTTTTATTAACATGGAAGCACTACCTTCTCCCTGGAAAGTCATTGCCACAGAGTTCAAATCCTCAACACAAGTTGTAAAATTGAACAAGAAGCAGCAAGAGAGCTCGATGTGTGTTAGCAGTGGTACACTTTCCAGAGCGAGGCTCCCACAATATAATAATAATACGCTAATAATACTATTACTACTACTACTTCAACTACTACTACTATTAATGAAGGCAGCGGCAGGAAGACTAAAACAAGAGAGAAGGTTGTAGACGTACTGGTAGGTACAGCCTCACCCCCCCCCCACACACACACACACACGTTTAAAGCTAATTACATTTAGTTTACCCCTGTTAAATTGATCCGAGGGGCTCATAACTACTAGACAAGATTACACCAACAAGCATCAAAGCTCCGTCAGAACATCCTCCCTCCACGTAAATACAAATTCTTCACGTTAGCCTAGTTCACACCGCCACCTTCACTGAACCACAATCGTAAATCAAGAGCAACAAAATGGGTTTCAAAACATAACAAAATGCAAAACTGGTGCAAGTACGTACTTGAAGTTGAGATTTTTGAAGGAAAAGTGGACTTCGACGATGCCAGTGGTCTTAACGCGGGTTCGTAGAATGTCCTGTTCGGTGGGTTGGTATTCCTTGGCTCCCAGCCGGTCCAAGTCGTCAAGGAAACTGGAAAACAAGATTTTATCACATGTAGTCTAACTCTGGCTAGATCCTGACTGTGTGACGATTGATGACAAGGATGGATGACTGATGATGTGGTGGTGGTGTTATGGTCACACCATTTGTGCCATTTCAAGATCTTACTCAGGATGACTGGCAACATACATTTTTCAGCATGCTTAAATGGCAGAGCGTCGACATGTAGAGTGATACAGAGACAGTTTTAATAAACAACGTTTCGCTCATGACTTGAACAAGCCCAACTTTCAGCGAAACGTCTACTAAAGGTTTGCTATTATTGTAATGTGTTCAGTACGAGACATAAGAGAACGAGGCGACGCAGGTGAAGGCTAACCCGTGCCAGGACTATGGTCTTGGCGAACATTATACATACAGGTGAAGGCTGAGTCCTCACGTCTCGCAAGACATGTTAGTAAACACTGTGACTGCATCACAACACTTGTAAGATGCAACACACACACACACACACACACACACACACACACACACACACACACACACACACACACACACACACACACACACACACAAAAAAAAAAAAAAAAAAAAAAAAAAAAGATTATAAGAGCGACAGTTTGAAAGCAAAATATGATAGATCAGATAGTTGATCAAGTGACACCTTTAACGCATGAGAGATCACGCTCATTTCTGACAACTGGACGATAAGATACGAACTCGTCAGCTGAACATACAAACTCAATGGAGTGAGGGAGGAGGGGAAAGGGTGGTTGACGCCAGTGAAGAGCTCCTTGACCCCTGTGTGTTTGACGCTTCCCCGTGAATATAATAACGCTGAGTAACGAGAGCCTCACAGAACGAGTGCATAAGAGAGGTAGTTCGCACATGTTATGCGCTTTGTGAACGTTATTTGGCCAGGACTGAATGGCGTCGGGATAATTCCACTTCTGTTTAGACCAGGGCCGGCCATACTTTAATGAGACGTGATCTATCTTTTCCAAAGTTCTCACTATACGATCCTACACACACACACACACACCACAGCGGGAGACCGAGCATACAGCGAATACATAAATTATACAATACACGGTCGAGAAGCCTCAAAGAAGCATCTGGTGATCATCTCTCAGCTTGAATTGGTATTTCGAATTGATAATTTTCATGTGTATGTGTGTGAATTTCGCCTCACACTGGGGAGGAAGAGAGAGAAAGGATATCTGGAAGGGTTACATATTAAAGAAAGCAACAGCACCGGCAGTCGCCGCCGCCTCCCTATCCGACATCTTTACCTCAACTCACCTTTAAGACGGACAAGAGGCAGTGAGTGGGCAGGAAGGTGAGGAAGTGAGGAGGAGGAGGAGAAAGTAAGGAGGATGGGAGAAGGAACAGTGACAGAAAGGAGGGTGAGAGGTGAGTGACGAGGTGTACATTGGGAGTAGATGATGGGTACAGTGTACCTCTGCACTCCTATCGGATGCCTACAATATTCCATCACTATCTCCTAACAGATTCCATCACTATCCCCTAACAGAATTCATCACTATCACCTAACAGACTCCACCACCATTACCTCTCATACGCCTCAAAATGATTTCGAGACCTTTCCTACTCTCGCAGCCCGGCCCTGGACCAGCCTCGTCTGGTGCTTGCCTGGTCAACCATGTTGTTGCTGCCTTGCTGTCCCACACATCCATCACAGCCTGTTTGACACGGTCCTTGGTGAAGGTATCTGTCTAGCTGCTTCCTCTTGCAAGACTTAAACACTTGTTCTGGCAGTGTTTGTGATATCTTCTGGTAAGATGTGTCAAGAGTCTGGAACCATAGATGCTGATGCAGTGTCCTCGTCACTGGGTTTTTGGTACAATTTCTTCCATTATATCTCTCATTCCAATTATTATTATAATAATTATTATTATTATTATTATATTATTATTATTATTCAGAGCTGTATGACCTTTGTGGCTTTAGCGATTAGTTTTGATTTCATAATAATAATAATAATAATAATAATAATAATAATAATTTATAATTAATTACCCTGTAAGGGTGATGACTACCTCCGGTAGTCTTGGCAGGGCGCAGATTTGAGACCAGGTTCGAGCATCCCTCAAGAACTCTGCCAGTATCCCGGGAAGGGATCTTGATCCAGATTAGCTCTTGATTCAAGGAAACATAGCTACCCTTCTCATCCTCGGATCAAACCTGATTATCTTGAAGGCGCAGCATTATTATTATTAGTAGTTGTGGTAGTAGCAGTAGTATCATCAAGATACAAACTTAACATACGTGTCAGTCACATTTCAGTATATCAACCAAAATTACAGTGTTTTGTGTAGGAACTCGTCGCGGCGTCCGCCAGGAGGCTGGTTGTTGGTTTATATCCCACCAACCACACCAGGTGACTCAGGCTGCGTGTCACCTGCCACGGTGACCTCTGTTACTAACAAATGCAATTACACACACACACAGACACACGCAGACACACACAAACACACACACACAACACACACACACACACACACACACACACACACACACAAACAAATACACAAACACATACAAACACACACACACACACACACACACACACACACACACACACACACACACACACACACACACACACACACACACACACACACACTTCCCCAGCGCTGAGTTAAACAAGCACACACTATATATTGTGAAGAGTATATCTCTTGGCGTGTATATACAGCAGCAGTGTATGCGCACTTGGAGCGCTGTATATCTCAGTATTTATACACTTTTAGAGTTTACTTTAATCCCTATGTTGGGATTAAGGTAAACCCAGGCAACATCCGCCAAGTGTGGGCCTGTGGGCCGCCAGCAGCAACAGCCTGCTTGACCAGGCAAGCACCAGACAAGCCTGGTCCAAGGCTGGGCTGAGAGACTAGGAAAACTCTCGAAACTGGTCACAGGTATATATTAATCCCTCCCTTATCTGCACACGGGTTGAGGCAGACTGATCCCTTCCTTTCCTGGAGCCATTCTTAACACTAGTTTCAGAAAACAAGTGAGCGAGGCATTCCTGGTACCTGCAAGACATTCATGGCACCTGCGCGGCATTTCTGGTACCTACGAGACATTCCTAGTAAAAGGCATTCCTGGTACCTGCAAGACATTCATGGCACCTGCGCTACATTCCCGTGGACATTCACAGTCTCTCATAGCTTCCTGGAATCTGGTAATGTTGACTCTCACTGTGTTCCACCTCTATAACATTACTTCCTTCTCCGCATAACCTTCTCTCCCTACACATTTCTTTCCTTTTCCGCCCTTTTCTTCCACTCCCTTCTCCTGACTTTCTCACCCTTACATCCCTCTTTACAGAATAATTAACAACTTTCCCTCCACTCTGCTCTCCCAACTGCATGCCTCCTACTTTCTAATCTTTGTGCTTTCTTATTCCCTCTCTACCCATTCCTCTCCCTCTCTGTCCTTCATCTTCATCACATTTTAACCTAGCAACTCTCTCTTTTTCCTTCACTCTCCCTCACACTTCTGCTTCTTATGTGATGTGACTATCACTAAAATTACCTGTTAACCTTCACAGAGAGAGAGAGAGAGAGAGAGAGAGAGGGGGGGGGGCGGGGCGTATCCACAAAATCACTGAATGTTTACACAATACAAGTTCACTATATCTATCAGGAACGTAAGGTTGGTTCTCTCAGACCTGGACTACTTAGTCTGGTGAGAATGGTAAAAATTTAGGTTGAAATAAGGACCTTTTATATCTAAGTGTGTTGTATCATTTTCGGTCAAGTAAATTGACGGTGATTGTAAGAGAACTTAACAGATAATCCTTGTTAATAACGGTGATAACATCTGCAATTTCTTTCTGTCAATGTAATGCAGAAATTATTCTGTATACGAAGCAGTTTGATAAATAACTCATTTGTTTTTCTATTTTTTTAGGATGTGTGATGTGTGAATGTGAGGTGAACTAAACATTACTATCAACACTACGTATGAACAGAGTGAAGAATAACTATCAGAGGATGGTGCTGGTGTTAGCTTACATAGTCTTATCTGGTGCAAACTGTGTTGCTTGCCTCGAACATTTCCGGAATCAGGATCCAGTAATAGTTGACAGAAAGGACGTTGATACGCTTTTTGAATACAGTTGAAGTCATGGAGACTGTGAACTGACACGGTTACCTTCCAGATATGGTTCAAACCTCACCAGTGAGCAAGGCTCTCGTAAAGAGTGACCAAGGTCTTCCAATGATGACACATTTAGCTGAAGAGAAAATTGCATATTTTGTGATGCTGTGACAATTCTCGATCCCAGGAATCCAAACAAAGATCCTGGAACACCTGTGCGAACAATTTCCATCAGAAATACCATTATGAAGCAATGTTACAATCGGGCTGACTCGTCGGCAAATGAGGTTCAAACTCGACTTGAGGAATGTATTGTATCGGTTTTGTGGCAGCAGAAGGTAGGTAACATCTTTGTTGCCATCAGGTATTCATATGTACCTGTAACCTTACTAACCTCAAAACTTGTTGGTCGACCAGTGCATGATGAAGTGAATAATTATTTTGAAGCATTATGTAAATGGCTTGAGAATGAATATGAAAACCAGTTATACACTTTTGACCAACTTCACGCACACAGGGTTGAAATAGCAGGAGATGAAGTTTACAACATAAAGATTTTAAAGTGGAAGCTGCAGGAGAACTACGGTGATCACGACTATTTTGCTGAAATCGCTGGAAAGAAGAATGTGGCCTATTTCAGAAATATAGCAGATTTCAATATCAGTGGCAAGTGGTATTCAAAAAAAAGAGGAAAATTCAAAATTCAAAATTTGATGTCATCAGTCGATGACATCAAAGGTCTACAACGAGAGAGACTATTTCACTCCACTTCGTAAGTTTACAAAAGCAGTGATACCAACACATGATATACAGCAGGTCAGTGTAGATCAAGGTATTTTACAGCTGTGGAACCGAGGACTGTAATGGCTCCGATTCTCCTTGGATTAAAGACAAAGGTTTATCATGTTTTTTTGTAACACGATGGTTCATACATGAACATTTTCAGCTTGTTTTCTTTTTCAGTTTCATATGATGAGGTTTGTTGATTCAAGTATTCAGTTATTCTAGAGGAGAGTTTGGAAAATTTAACATCTCCATCAAACTCAACGGTCACACAGTGGTCAGCTGCTAGCGTTGATCACAATATACAATCACTGGAAAATGAACATTTCCAGTTACACTCGACTGGTCAGCGCATAAAACTCAGAGCGACAATGAAAGTTGATGAGGTGGTTGCGGATAAAGGAATACCAGTTACCCCATACACTGGGCCTTTAACATCAGCTCTTCCAGGAACGATATACGAGACAATACTAACCTTACAGTGCCGGTACACAACACAGCCATCTGTGTTCTGCTCAAAATGTCCTTCGAGAGTGAGCAATGTTTCTCAGCAGATGATACAGCAAGCTGGTCAGGCCTCAAGTAACGTGTGTTCACAGCAAATAATGGAAAAGCTGTCATGAAGTTAAATGTACTATTCTCTTAATACTCCAGTATTACCCACAGTCAACATCACACGACTATGAAGGTACACAAGACAGTCTGGTGTTTTCTAAGCATTAATACAGAAGTCTTCTCTTTCACTAAGCGCAGGCTTATGGCCGGCGCTTAGTGAAAATTTTAATATGCTCCGGCAGGGGCATGGGTAGTGGCAGGGGCATGGTAAAGTAAAAGAAGAATTCGAAAGTACGGTTTGGAAATAGAGTTGTGTGATGAGTGGAACAAACCCAAGTACCGTTTAATAGAGGCCAGAACGTTGTGTACTTTAAAAATAGGTTGAAAATACAGAGTGATGTGGGTGGGTGTGATTAACCTGATACTTGTGCTACCAGGTCGGTTGCCGTGTTCCTCCTTAAGTC